AATCTACCTTTTGCATCGTTACGCAGAGTCAATCAATAGACAGCAATTGACTCTTCGTCACCCACAGAACCGGACAGTTCGCACCAACTACCCTGTGATAGGGATACCAACAATCCTCCTTCATCGGAAAACTTTATGAACTCTCAATGAGACTTGGAATTTTGGAATTGGACTTGTGGTATGGATGGAATGGTATGGGGAACGTTGCTTGAATTGATGCAGGGTGGTTAACTACTTGACACTGCAGCTTCGGACTTTTGGAATAGCACTTTGGAAAAGCAGGTTCAAGACAATGCGCTTTGAAAACAGTATCTTCATCCCAAACATAGAATCGAACTCCAATAATGGTGACGAGACAGTGAGTCTCGGAAGGTGTCTGTATCTTCATGTCCATGTTCTTTCCTAACACCATTCTGGGGGCAGCTTGTGGAAGTCAGCTTCTTGCCATCTGTTCATCACCTGTCAAATGAAAAAGTTTGCTCAGAGGTCAAATTGAAGTTAAATTGGGAAGGTGGTATCAAAACTTTTTCAAACACAGCTCTATAGCTTCCCCGACGCTCTATTTGGCGCATCTGGGATCCGAATCCGCTCCGAAATCTTTGCAAACCTCTCTCCCAAGCGCCTTGAGGTTCTCAACAACCCACAACCGCTGGTTGGAGAAAACAAAGACCTTGCCCGGAGCGAATGCAAAGTTGTTCGACGTCTCGCCCAAGTGAATCTTTCCAAGCAAGACGCCCTCAGGGTTCCAGACGTGGATTCCGTCGCCGCAGCCGCCCCAGACGTTGCCATCGGTATCAGCGTGGACACCATCAGGGAAGCCATTGTCCGCATATGCAAACACGCGCTTGTTGGCGAGCTTTTTATTGTCGACAATGTCAAAGGCGTAGATGGTGGCTGGGCCAGACAGGTTGGGGGCGGTAGTGATGGCGCCGGTGTCAGAAACGTACAGCGTCTTTCCGTCCGGTGAGAACTCGACGCCGTTGGGCTGCTGGAAGCCGTCTGCCACGACTTGGACTGTGCCCGTGGAGGGCTCGAAACGGTAAATATGCGTGGGGAGGACGGACTCAGGCCTGAACTTCTGGAAGAAGCCGTACTGGGGGTCGGTGAACCAGAGGTCTCCTGTTACCGGGTGCTGACGGACATCGTTGAGCGAGGTGAAGTTGCGGCCGTTGAAGCCGACGATGAGAGGCTGCGACTTGTTGGTGTTGGGGTCGACGGCGAGGAGCTGGGAGTTTCTCGTCAGGTCGCCCTGGTCGCACCAGACCTGCATGGGCGGCGTGGCGGATTGGTCCGCGCCGGGCGGGTAGTAGGAGCTTCCGCCGTTGGCCTCGGTGAGGCCGTCAAACTGTGTGCTCCTGATGGAGAAGTCGTTCAGGTTGAGGACGGTGATGTTGATATTGTCTGTGGGATTGTAATTTGATGAGATGTAGAGGGAGTTGTCCTTCTTGTTGTAGATGCCGCCCTCGTGAAATGCCTGCCAGTCTACTTCTACGATTTTGCGGGCCGTGGCGTTGGGGCCGAGGACGTCTGCGAAGGCGGGCTGGTATGCCAGGAGGGAGATCGCCGGCGTGGGTAGGGTGGCGCCGGCGTTGACGGAGGCGAGGTAGCCCGCGCCTCCTGTCGCCAGGGCGTGGAGGTCGACGTTGATGAGAGACATGCTTGCGGCTTAGATCCAGAGGACTTCAATTTGGCTTGATGGAAGGTAGGAGGAGTTGCCGCCGCTTATACTTATACAGCCAAGGGAGTGAGGGAAATCGCAACGGTTGAGGAAGCTCCGGCGGCGGCAGCGAGACGAGAAGCTTCTTTATGGCGCTGCTATTCTGTACCCATTTTGCGTCGGTTCGTCCGCGACAAGCCATTAGGCTTGGCGTCTATTAGTTCATAATATCCCACTCTACTGCAACAGGGACCATGAAGCTATGACGTTTTGAATCACACGTTGGTAAGGGGCCATGGTTTCTCGTCAGAGCTGCCCGTGTAACCGTTACTGGTGTTAACTAGCGTCGGCCGGTAGTTGGGCTGACACCGGGCGGATGGTAGCTGATCTTGGTAACGGACTGCGGACTATGCGGGCAGCGGAGATCATAGTAGAGCCGAACGAGTCGTGGGTACTGGGCAGTAGAGAAATGTGAGGAGGGTAGTGAAATTTGATGAAGCCAAAAATGTCTGCTCTTTGGCTTGGCACTATGGGACCATTCCCCCGCAGAGATGGGCGCATCCCTGGCTACTATCCCTGACTTGCAAGCCCAAAACACCAACGGGATGAAGTCCGGCTTCGGACGTCGTGGCCTCGGTGGATCTCCGCGAGTCGTTGCTCTGGTTCACGATGCAGCACTACGACTGTGTATGCACTGCGGACAATTACCGGGAGTTTTCCCTTCTGCTTCTTGGCTCTGGAGTCTGGAGACCTTCAACCAGGGCTCTGGGTTGCGCTACTTTTTGTTCGAGAACCCTTTTGGCGTTCTTTAACTCCGGTGCTCCTAGAATAGAGCGCACAAGAGTCAGAGGTTGATGATGATGCGGAGACGCCAAAGAACGCCAAAAGAGACTAAGACAGGAACGACGATCGTCTTTAGGGGCTGGTAGGGCCGATCTTTGAATGATTGCGGAGATCATGTAACTCTAAACCCCACAAACAAGCTTATTGACAGCCACCCCTCGCGCGTACGGCATCGCACGGCATTGGGCTGCATGGTGGTTTTCTAGAAGTGGACGAGGTGAGTATTACGGACAATGGGCTAATTGCTGGTGGTGTGGCGCATAGTCTTGGCTGCAAAATATTTTGTTTCGTTCATCCCAAGTCCCCCTGACTAGAGAAAAACTCTGTTCAACTTGACACACGACAGATTTGGGCTAGGCCACGCCATCGCAACTATCCGTACAGTTGTTAATGGTCATCCACATGGGATGCAAGACAGCGAGAGATTGGGCGCGTGCGGGCCCGGGAAAGTGGTAGGTATTGTCCGTAGACAGTTGGGTTGTTCGAAGTATGAGCTTGTTTGGTGAGATTCTTCAAGTGTAAGAGGTCTTTTTTGGGACGAAAAAGGGCCGAGAGAAGACTGCCGGAGGGAGAGCGTTACATGACTCTGCTGACGATGGTGGACCGTTTCGCCGGCCTGTGCTTGGCTTGGCGTGCCAATTTTGCCCAACCGAGTCGTTGACTCGATCTCCGAGTCGCAGCGGCGATTTGCGTGAGGACTTGATGGCCGAGGACAAAATTTTTAGTCGGCCGAGGGCTGAACAATAAGATACGGGCAAGCAGACTTGTTCACGATACAAATGTCAGCGGTAAACGAAACGTCGAAAAGTCTGAAGCCGATTTGGTCCAGGCACATTACAACTTCTTGGCCTACAGCGGAGAAAACTCCTGATCGTGAGGTGCGGCTCTGTCAGTCAAGATTCAGTCGGCAATCGGTTGTCTTGGGCCTACCCGTCTCGGCAATAGCTTGATGCATGCCAAGATGATCTTCGGCAGGAATGTACCTTGACGATTGGATCGACTCTGTCAGAACATCTGAGCCGGCTTTCCGGGTTTGAGCCATTCTAACCTCGCCACGTTAAGCCAGCTTCGTGAGCCATTGGCTAATCCAACTTCAAGCATCGTCAACAGCAGTGGGGGGCACATAGGAGTCTTTGAGACTAACATATCATCAACGCCGAATAGAAGGATAATGAAAACTAGATCCGTTGTGCGGCAACCTGACCACCCTAGAAGATTGTCGATGGGGCTGAATGCATGAACATCAAACATGAGCAGGAGTAGTCTGGTTCTCGTCGAGCCTGCTACTTCTCATCTGAGAGAGGGAACAAAGTTGGCTATGAATTACGCTGTTGTATTCAAGGGTATCCTAGGCTTTCCGCACTGTGAAGCTTTTGACGACATCGATCTCGGGCCGAAGGCCACGGGCTCGGAACAATTTTGGGACATACGGATAATCTTATCTCTATGCCTCAATGAGGAACAAAGGATACATGATGGGAGTTTAGATACTTCCGGAGGCTGTGAACCATGGCTGTGGTGTTTACGATGATTATTCGTGTGGCCCAGCAACTACCTACCTTAATTACTTTAAGGCCTCCGAGACTGGAAGGAGGTCAATCTGCAATCACTATAGATATGTCTACACAGAGAACATGGATTCAAAAACGACGGAAGGGCCACGAGAGCAAGCTAAATGAACTTCCTGTTTCAATTGACTGCACGAATACATGCACTCTGTGATGCTCCGGTGGCCCTCGCCTCACTACCTAATCGACCTGTGGAATCAGCTCTGCCAAACTCAGTTTAGGCTCCTATCGAACTAGCAGACACAACCAAGACAACGACACCTACCTCTATACAAAGATTAATAAACACCCCAGACGCGTCAGGAAAGATCCACAGAAGTCAGGTAAGCGAAAGATCGAATTGTGGCTGGTGGAGGGCGAGGGGTGGTGGTGATGCTTCATGCAGATGGCCATATTTGAGAAGGGACGTGATATTTTAAAAGATGGACTAAATAGAAGTGCCGGGTGAATTAATGACTAAGTAAATAGCAAGGCTAGCGTTCTTTATGAGGCCATTCAGAGATGGTTGTCGGCCTCACTCATGATATTCCACCCAGTCACGTGTGCCCCTGAATAACCTCACCTCCTCACTCACTCTATGTGTATTCGATCTCACCACCAACTCACATCATTCAGATCGCTCCTGCCTCATTCTTTCTTCCTTCTTCTTGCCTGAAGAGAAAGGATCGGAAAAGCTAGCCCTACCCACGGAAAATCTCTTGCCCTGCCCACCCACACTGCCTTTCGACCGCCCACCTCTTCCACTCAATCCTTTCTCACTCACCCTCACACTCCCACTTTCTTCTCTTTTCCACACACACACACACCGCAAAATTTCTTCACCAAAACCTCCCTCACTCACAATCACAAGCAAACAACAAAGCAATCCATCACTTCCATCCAACAAATCATCTCCAACCAAGAATTCCAATTCTTCACTCATCTCAGTCACGATGAAGGTACGTTTGTGATTATTTCTCTGCTTCTTTCAGTGCCTCAAGCCTCAAAAACATATTGGTTGCTCTGAAAGCTCATAAATCTTCTCCTTCCAGTCCTACATTGCCATCACCGCCGTCGGTGCCATCATTGGCGCTGCCGTCAACGGTATGCCCGTTCTGGACAACCAGGCTACTGCCAACGTCCTCGGTGCTCAGGTTCCTGCTCAGGCTGGAATTGCTGGCTTCAAGCATAACATTCGCCAGAATGTTGGCTTCAATGGCTCTCAACCCATCATGAGCATCAGCTTCGAGGCCTCGGTTGTTCACCAGACTACCACCATGACCGACTACAAGCAGCCGATTGCCACCACGGTCAACAAGTGCACCACTTTCCCGATCAGCGAGCCCGCTCTTGGCCTCACTGGAATCATGGAGATGTGTGCTCCCATGAAGACCACTATCAACATGAACATTGGCACCAAGACCACTCTTGAGCACCTCAACGCTCCCGTTGTCACCGCTCCTCACATCACCTCCGTTCTCTCCATGGAGATTGAGACCGCTGCTCCTGTCAAGCAGTCCACGACTATGGAGATCCACGAGCGCATCTCCAGCTGGTGCGTCACCGCGACCAGAACCGATGGCTCCAAGCCCTACATCTGCACCGCCGGTCTGGATGATTACCCTCATGCCACTGGCACTGCCACCTTCATCTACACTCCCTTCTCCGGCCCTACCCCCACTACCCCCTCCTTCTTCCTCACTACCTTCAGCGAGGACCCTGCGAAGCCCTCGAGCGCTCCCGACTACACTCCCTTCGCTGCCCCTACTCGTTCTGAGCCCAGCTTCTTTCTCACTACATTGAGCGAGGATCCTGAGATGGTCGCCGCCGCTTCTACTTCAACTCCTCTTGCCACCTCGTCCACTGAGACTGTCATGATCGGCGCCCCGATCGTTACTCGTGCTTCGACTGTCGAGCCCGTCATCACTGAGACTCAGACTGTCTTTGTTACGGCCTCAGCCAAGGTCTGATGACACTTTACACTCATGTGATCTCAACATCTTCAGAAGTTTGGGAAGGAACCTGGATCGGTGGATTTTGGGCATACTTGTGGAGGATTCATTTTCATTCATGGGAACACTTGGGGTTCAAGCTGGACTGGGTTTGGGAACAGGCATCAAGGAGGATTCAGGTCAATGGGTCATTCTTTCTTCATTGTTATTAAGCTACGACGAGTATCAGGTTTTCGTTCGTCGTTGGCAGCTACAGGCTGCTCGTTAATATCAACAGCAAAGGCTGTCTACCCGGTGTGATAAAGAATACACTGGCATTGCAAACAAACATCTTGCTCCTTCTCTTTGTGACTTTGTGTGACCTGTGATGTCTTTCTCTCTGAGTTATCTTGTTCACCCCCCCACCCACACCGCCTTCGAAGCTCCATTGTGATGGAGTCCTTGAGGGAAGTCACGATGATTCCTTTGGTCCTAGTAGTCTTTGCAGATAATGATGAATGCCATGGACTAGTCGTTAAAATTCTCTTTCGTCATTCTTGATTTGGTGCTTCACGAACTAGCTATTTGGCCGGTCATGTGCCCCATTCCAGGAGACCTCGTTATTTCTTCAATTTTCTCTTGGCTTCAAATCTCTTAGAGTCTTCAAAGTTGACGAAGTGTTCAGTACCTGCCTCAACAGCTCCGGGTAGTCCCATCCCAGTGCCTCAGCTGCCAAAAGCGTCAGACTCGCCTGATCATCTCGCCCAGGTCGTCCAGGGCCGGTCATGTTCTTCATTGATGGCTTTGTTAGAAATCTTGCTAATGACATCCATGATGGCAGAAGACAAGCTTACCGGCTTCATGTTTACATCGAATAGAGCAAAGTCGGATCCAGAAGTCTCAGAAAAACGTCGCACATCGATGCGAATCGGGGCAGCGACGCCTAATACCCTCGCTGCTGCCTTACACTCCCTCGCGATCCGTCCATACGCAGGGTCCCCCTCCTCCTTTGCTGTTATCACCCTCGAGTTGGCAGTGACCGCTACCACTCCATTATAGGGCGCAATCCCATCTTGGTGATTGAAGCGTGTGACGATGGGCAAGGACCAGTAGTCTTTTTTCTCACCATTCGGCGGCATCACGGTGATGGTGGCTTCTTCACCAGAGAGGTATTCTTCCAACATGATGCTTGGCGACTCTTGAAAAAGGACTTTGGTGTGAGCGGTGAGATCCTCGAGTGTTTGGCAGACTCGAACGCCGTGGCTTCCCCGTCCGCGTATGGGTTTTGCGACGATCGGAAACGGCAGTCTGAGCTGCTCAATCTTTGTTTCCACTGCTGGGTCGGAATGAATTGTCCAGGACCGAGGCATCGTAAAGCCACCGATTTTGCGGAGCAGATCATTCACATATTCCTTGTCATCGTACTTTTCAACAACAACAGGCCCATGCCCGACAACTTTGAGTGTATCTTGGACACTTCCAAGGGATGCAGAAGTCTGGATCGGGTGAGATGCGAAAAGGATTGTGTTGGCCCAGAGATGAGTCGCTCCTTTCTTGACAGCGTCTAGAATCCCCTCCTCGGTATCCGGAAAGCACCACTCGGTATCTTTCTCTGGCGAGGGCATCGAGATTGGAGTGATCGCGCTGACAGACTTGCTGGCTTGGAGGTTAAAGGCGATGTCGGCTCCTGAGTCGCGGTATCCTGAGACCTGTTAGTTGAAATTGGGGCAGACGTGTCTACGAGATAGGACTGACCGCCGGGCTTCATCGGCTTGCGCACCCCATTGACGACAGGGGGATCTATGGCTTGGTAGAGCACAGCGACCCTTTTTGAGTTCATCCTACATGAGTTTATCGATGAGTTCCTACGTGAGGTGACGGCAAACAGCCCGCAAGAGTGGACGCCGAGGGTGCGGGGTAAATGAGTCGCAATTCTTGACGCAAACTTGACTCTCAAGGACCTGCCAATGGCTTTCATCATTCAAAGTACTGAGTCGCCGCTCCTTACGTTGGAGTTGATGTGATGAAGTTAATGTGAAATGGGGTTGGGGCTCTTGCCAGTATTAGGTGTCGATGATGTGAAGTTGTAGACGGAGTAGTCCGTCGGAGTAGTCCGTCCGTATTATTTCCGCCGGGAAATCGGCATTCCTAGAACGGGGCGGCGCCGTAGAACCGCCGTTGAAGATCGCCTTATGTATTACTGGCCGAACATGTCCCATAGACTAGGGAAGAGCTCATCTATATCAGGCACACTTGTTGACACATACTCTTGAAGCTCGGGCATATCTACTGGCTGCTCGGGGAATTCTGCGCTGGATGTGGACGTGGCAAGCTTCTCAATGACCTCAGAGTACTGCGCAATGCATAAGTCACCAACGTCCCAGGCTTTTTGGCGATGAACCTGCAGTGAATTAATGAGGTCGCGTGCCAGCTTCAGCGACATGCTTTGCGCCAGTCCGCTGACGGTATTCTCGGTCTCTAAAGCGCAGCGAAGGAGGAACTTGGTGGTGGACGTGAACGCGAAGGTGAGAAGTGGGAGCCAGTAGTCTCCAAGCTGGGGATCTTTGAGCTCTTGAACCAGAAGCACAATCTCCTCAGCGGCCCGTCGTACTTCAAGATAGCAGCGCATGGGGATCGAGGATGTGTGGTCGGCGTTGGCTGCCTTCTCGGCGTCTAGTTCCCACTTCCGGAGCAAAAGTCTGATGTAGAGATACGCGAGACGTAGGTTCGCTGAGCCTGGTATGTCAAGACTCTCGCCTCCACGGATAATTCTTCGCCGTATGTTATTATCGAGTGAGTCCTCCCACTGTGTCAGCAAGACTTCTAGATCCCAAGGGCCGGCGGCAGAGGTCTTCTCAAGATCGTAGATGCGCTCTAGGTAACTGTCGAGAAAGCGGGCCAGAGCGACAAATGCCAAGTATACAGACGTTGCTTCGTAGTCGACAGGATTTGGTGCCGGACCGCATAGTTGCTCTGCTGTGGGAATGGAAACGTCGTGCTGGCCGCTCCTGAGCTGCGGCGGCGTGCCGTACGCCAGACTCGACCTGTGTAAAGCATTAGCCCCGAAGCATTAGTCTGACCCGTTTGAGTTTGCACATACCACTTATCATACACAAAGATGGCCCACCAGATCTTTGTTCGCAGGAGCTTCTCGGCTTCTGGTATATCCCAATCGGAAGAGTCTCGGTTCAGGCCGAGCGAGTGAGCTAGAGAGATAGCGGAGCCAAGCTGAAGGCCGTTCCCGATGATCGAAGTCAATGGCCGACCGGAGATATTCAGAAGGATGGCTAGCAAAGTCGAGATGCCTGGTGACAGATGTATCTCCGAGTAAAGGGCATCATTGGCCTGGTTCCAAATGAACCTAGTGTCGGGGCGGTGTTGGGTGACGAGTTCGGGGGACTGTGCCCAGTAGGTCATTGTATGCGCGTAAAGCGAGGCCAACAAGGCTGGCGAGATGTGTCTCCTATCCTCTGTAAACCGTTTCTCAAAGGACTGTCTATCTAACAAGGGGAAACAACGGTTGGGCTTTTCAAAGAAGCTAGGAGCGCAAGTCAGGCCATGATACGCATCAGTATAAGCTGAATAAGCTGAACTCGACTTACAGATCGATAACACCGGATAGCATTGGCTCAAGAAGTTTCTCAATCATCTGACACTTCAAGAATGCTGGGTTCCGGTCGTCAGGAAGACCGATAGGCTGCTTTCTCACTGTGGTAAAGACAACGGGTTTCCTTGTGCCGCCTCCGTGCTCTTGCCGTGGGCTCGTTACCGATATCCTACTCCGATTCAAAACAGACGAATCATTGGACAGGTAGGTTGACAAGACTTGGGTATCCTCAATGTCTGCTGGTCCCACAATATGTGCCTCATCTTCTCCGCCATCGCCAATGGGTTCCGAGTACCGCTTGTTCTGGGGTGAGAATATGGGAGGATGGCCTTCTGAGGACTTTGACACTCGCCGGTCTGCCTCGGCCAACGGGAGCTGATTCGTCTGGTCGTCGTACTGGAGCTCCGAGGGGAACGTCTGAGCCGGAGGCTGTGGTGGCGGAGACGGGCGGTGGCCCAGGTCCTTGGATCTGCTGGCTTGGGCGTTTCTCCAAGCAGACTTCGGCCGCGGCGAGGCTCCACCGGGAGCCGGTGGGAACTCGCATTGTGTTCCGTGAGCTCGGCAAGTCAGGCATGTTCCTCCATTCTTGTCGACGTTACACCGGGACTTGCGCTTCCGACAGGCCAGGCAGGCCGGGCGAAGGTGAGAGCGGTAAGGGCGCTCCGAGGGCAAGGAGCTGCTGTCAGTCTCAGACGCCATGTTTCTGATGTTTGCGTTTTGTCTCTCTTACGATATTGAGGCAAAGTAAACTACATGATCCGCCGACTTGGCCGTGGCTATTGACGTTATTCATCCTTATCTCGAGGGATTTGTCGTGTAAATGGTCGTTTCCCGCGGTGAACTCGGAGGTTTCCCGAGGAGATGTTCAATCTTATCTAATCGATAAACAATGAGATAACGATAACATCATCTCGTATCGATAACACACCTCGTCAAATCGGGCAGTGACCTTGTAATGCCTTCAGGCCACAACTCTTTCCTGCGTGTAATTGAGGCATCAACCTCTCTTTCACCACTCCAACAGCTAACCTCACCGTTCACCATGTTCTTCCGCATACACATGCAACAAGTGATTCCGCTTCGTCGATTTCCCTTAGCCAAAGAGTCGCCAGAAAGCAGACCCGTCACTTCGAAAGACGAGCAAAGGAGCGACACTGCACCTAAATCAGCAGCTCTGCCGCCTTCGAAGGCGTTGAGAAAGAAGAGAGCAAAGCTGTGATGGACCAATTGAGCGGACCGGCGCGCTCTCATGCCTCCCCGCGCGCTTGGAAACATCTCGATCTCGATGCCTCAGCATATTCTCATTCATCAAGGAATGCGACTACACTGCGACCTGTGAAGTGGTACCGGCGCGACCTCGAAGTATGCCGTCCACGATGTAACCGCAACAGTTAGGCAGGATGCAGCCTGCATTCCGTACCGCAGTAGGGACTCGATGTCGACGGAAGCGCGGGTCAGAGATGTTCCCTTGATGCTGGACACCACCTTTGGCATTTCCACATGAACCGATTGTCCGAAAAGTGTCACAAGTTACCTTGCTCGTCGACGCAGCGCGGAGAGCTTCGTTGCATACGTTGCCCAAGGTCACCACGTCTTGTGGTTGACAGAGTCGCAAGCCTGAAGATGCGGATGGCCTCTCCTACCTGGTCGGGTTCTGGCGAGCATCCGGTCAGATGTCCTGCTACCTTATTTGGGACATGGTTACTCCAAAGCTGTCAAGGTCATCCCTGAAGATGACACCGAGACGGTCCAACTCCGCGCCGGCATGGTAACCCCTCCTGTCATCTCTCTTCTCTTCACCCTGCCTCCGCGAGCCGCCAGGCGTCGAGGCATCTTTTAACATCAGCAACGGCGGGCAATGATTATTGATGCATCACCAAGAGCAAGTTTGAAATCAACGGCTCGAGGTCGAAGTCTGCATTGTGCCACATCCCGAGCATTAGGTGTGCAGTATCACCACGGTCGCAAAGGGTGGTTGCCGTGATGCCAGGCAGGGGACGCGTCTCTAACATCGCATATCGCCAGTCTACCCTTTCACGATGCGCAGGGGATCGACGTCCAGATATTCGAGTGGCAGGTAATGGATGAAGACTAGTCACTGAACACTTCTCTTTCGGTTGCAAACATCGTGTTGTGTTCTACTCTCCCCGGCACGCCCTTTTAATGTTGTCATGGAACGAATCCCAGTCTACCGCACGGGTATTGAATTGGATAAAGCACTCAGCAATTGGCTGGCTACCTCTCGAGTCTCGACGCAGTCGTGTCATTATACTAGTCACGACTCACGAGCCGATGGAGAATTTCTCCGGCAGAGAGAACTTTTGCTCGATACTACATACTCATGCCAATGACCCTTTGGCTGCAGTAGTCCGACTGACCAGGCCGTCGAGATCGTGGTGCAGGAAGACCTGGTCGGATTTTTGAGAGAATTAGGGATGCATCTCCATGAGGATCTGAAACGCCCACAGGGACTGTACCGTTGCATTTGTGATCTTCACGACCGAGGCTCAGCAGCTAGCGCTGGATTCACTGCATACAGGTTGCAGCCTCTACCAATACACTGGATTCTGACCTTTACGCAAGAAATCGAGGTTGGGCCGAATTGAGCAGTCACTCCGACTTTGCAGGCTGGAGGAACGGAGTCATCCCCATAAGCCCGCTGCCGATCACGATCGTCGAGGAGCAAATCGACTAGGGCGCAGAAAGATATGCGATCCGGCTTCTTCAGCAGATGCGCGAGCAGTCAGCACTACGCCTCGTCTCTATATGGTAAGAGACTGGGGGTCAATGGACGAACATGATAGCGGCATCAAACAAGGTGTTCATCTCCTGGATATCTTACCTGCAGGCTGTCGCAACACATGGCTCATTTGAAATACCTCGAGGGTTGACGCGTCGGCAGCATAAGTATTACCATCTCCAGCCGAGTTGCAGGCAGCATAAAGAGGAAATAGGACCGAGGCGAAGCAAGATCGGGGATCGGCCGCGATGGAGACAATATCCACTCGTCGTACCCATAAACCGACGGATCGCCGTGGGGCCTGAACAATAGTCCGTATGCTGGAGCTCTTTTCCCTCAGGTTTTCCCTGCCTTTTGGCAACGACAGGTCGAGCATGAATCCTGCAAAATCGGCTTCGTGTCCACCAAGGAAACCCATGACGCTAGACGAGCGCATGGGTCAGTTGTTCGCTGCTGCGGTATGGCGCTGAAAGGCAGGCTGACGGGAGCGTTCACGTCTGCGCGAGAGTGAGACGAGTCATCTGTGCCTTCACCTTTTGCCGTTCACCAACGAACGCAACTGGGAATTACCAGTTGTTACCGTTCTCTCAGCGAGAACGAGAGAGGAGGCAAACAAACTTCCGCGCTCGGGCAGAATATGCTGAAGATTGAGGGCAACAAGGTGGGAGAGGAAACACCCAAGGCTTGGTGTGTTTGTCTATTTCCAGTCTTGCCAGGACATGATGAGTTTCTCTTCAACGACATGATCAGATGGCTGCGGTAACCTTCAAAGTCCCATCGACCACGCGGGGTCTAGACCAGTCACCAATGAAAGGCAGAAATTGGCTTCGGATGCTGTGCCCCCTCCGTCATACTCCAACGTCTCATCGACGTGAATCAGAAACTCGCCTTCACACCCCCCGTTGTCCTCGGTGGAGAGGAAAGGGATTTCAAGGAAGCATTCGTCGAAGCATCCAAGGCAACACTGGGAATATGCGGCCAGCAGGCTGCGGCACGGGTCCGATTCGGGCCTAGGACAAGACAGCTTCTAGGATGGTGGAGAAGCTCAAGATTACAATTGTCGCGAGTCGTACCCTGCTGCGACGAATGGGAAGGGAAGCCACTGCCCGATCTCCTTGAGGGCCGCAGCATGACGACAAGGCTACCCCATGTCCATCTCAAACTCTTTTTCCACGATCATTCTAGAACGCGACGTTTCATACGAGCTGAACTAAGAGGCCCCCTTCGTGACCTTCGTGTCCTTCGTGTGGCTGTTCGACGCCATTGAGGGGGGAGGGACTTGATGGACGCTTGAAGGGGCTGTCTTACCACCATCCCAACGTCTCACTGGTCCAGGTCCCCCTCGTGCTAATCAACCAAGCCAACTTTAGCCAACTTTAGCGTCCGACAATGGGACGCACCGGCAAGTGTGAGCCCCGAGAATACGTTCTCCGCATGTTTAGGATGCGGCATGGTGGAAACCATTACCACAAAAGTTGCGCAAATGGCAAAAAAGGAGGCGCAAATATAACCCTGTTATGCTTGTTGCCGACCACTCACGGCAGATGGCCTTTGATTCTTGGCCATGACCTGATCATGCCGCTGGAGATCTTAATGTTCAACCCCCCGGCCATTATCAGATTCTTCTTTTCTGCCTCCCTCCGGACCCTCCCCCCCCTTTCGCCATCACACAATGGGGCACCTGGGGACGTGCCAAGTCGGGAGTTATTAAAGAAAGAGGGGTCCCGCAAACCGCCAAGATAGGGCTGCGGCGGGTTTTGCGATATTAATATTCTTTTTTGGCCTCTGGGTTCGTTTCTTTCTCACAGCGAGGGAGAGAAGGGATTCATGATCCTGTCGTGTCTTGGCCGTGGATCGGCTCAGCTTGCCCTCGACGACTCACAATGTCCGGCCTCGTCTTGGCCGCCGAAGGCGAAACGACACACAACGTAACGGCCGAATATCTCGCGGAAGATTCTGGCGGCACGCTAATAGGCATATCCATCGCCTTTGCTGTCCTAACGACCTTTTTTCTCGGTCTGCGACTTTTCGCAAAACGGTTTACTGCTGGCGGGTATGGCTTGGACGACTATTTCCTGGCGGCAGCCTATGTGGTGGACTTAGGGATGTGCGCCGTCGGCATCGGTAGGTTTTCTGCCCAGCGTGGAAATGGCGTGGTTTTCGAGGTCCGAACTCTCAACTAACTCTGTATTCGTCAGTCATGGTTAAGGTCGGCGGTGTTGGACGACACGTTGAATTCGTCGAGGAGTTTCACCCAGCCCTCCTGACCGGGTGGGCGAAGTGCATCCTCGCGTTTGAGATCATCTACTTCACCTCAGTCGCGCTGCCCAAGATGGGCATCGTCTGCCTTTACCTGCGCGTCTTCAACTGGAAGGGGGCTATGCGAACCACGGCCTACGTGCTGTTGGCGACTCTGGCCGCGACGAGCTTCTCCTTCATCATCACTGCGTGCTTTCAGTGCCAGCCCATCGAATTCTGGTGGGACCGGACAATTCCTGGCGGAAAGTGTGTCGACGTTCAGGCCTTTTTCCATGCACAGAGCATTCCGGGCTTCGTGCTGGACTTTTTCATCATGACTTTGCCGCTCAAGACTATTTGGGACCTGAAGCTGCCGACGCACAAGCGCATTGCTCTCATCGGCATCTTCATGATCGGCAGTTTGTAAGTTTATTCCGTATTGGCCAGGAGCGGAAGATGTCCCCGAGACTGACGAATTCATAGTGGTATCGTTGCAAGTATCATCAGAGCCGTTATTTTCTTCAGCAACTCTGCCTTTTCGGACCGTACATGTAAGTCAAGCTCAGTAGTATTCCTTTCCCAAGAGACGAACAAGTCGACTAACTCTCTGGCTAGGGGCATCCGTCGGTCTCGTCGGCTGGAGTATCATCGAAACAGGAACCTACATCATCGCCGCGTGTCTCCCTCACCTGCGACCAATGATCTCACACTATACGCCGCCATGGCTCAAGTCCATGGTCCGCAAGACGATATCACAAGCCAGCAACTCCATGTCCAAAGTGACCAACTCCAAGAACCACACACAACCGCGACGAGGCGATGACGAGGTGGAGCTCACCGCAAGATCGAAGAAGCAGACGGTCGATACGGAGAGCGATATGGGCGGAGATGAGGAGCGTGGGTACGCCGGAGGGATACGATCGCCAGCATCAGGCATGACTGTCGAAGTGCGCAAGTCGGATGACTTGGTCGGTGGAGAATGGGCCAGGCAGGGCCAGATCCGAGTGACGACAGAAGTCAAGATGGAGAGAGTGCGAACGTCGGCCTTCCTGAAGGGTCCAGACTCATGAAGCTTTTACCATACCAAATGTTTGTTAGTAATGATATCCAATCGAATTTCAGTATTGACAACCCGAGACGTTCATCGCGCCCTTTCCATTACAGGTATCTGATACACTTGATATTTCCACAATCACAAGTACGACTTTGGTCCTTTAGCCTCCGCTGGCCCCAAGAGCTCATCGGCCATCCCGCGTCCAGCTGCCCTTCCGGAAAAGATGCAGCCTCCCAAGAACGTGCCCTCCAAGCTGTTGTACCCGTGAACACCACCGCCACCGAAGCCGGCTGCCTCGCCAGCCGCATACAGACCAGGGAACTTCTGCCCATCCGCCTTCATGACATTGCTCTCCAAATTCGTCTCAATACCGCCCAGCGTCTTGCGCGTCAACAAGTTCATCCGCACAGCGATCAGCGGCCCATGCTTGGGATCCAACAACTTGTGCGGCGGCGCGATGCGACTCCTCTTATCCGCCCAGTACGTCCGTCCATTATTGATGAGCATGGCCTGCGCGTCCTTGGAGTAGGCGTTATCGAACTGCCCGTCGCGGAGCTCAATCGTCTCCTTGATGTCCTCCAGGCTCAGCACCGGCCCGCCGCGCTCGCGCTGGAGCTCGTTCATGCCCTGCACCAGGTCGGCGAGGTTCTCTTTCACGACAAAGTCCTTGCCGTACTTTTGGAAGTTCTGCACGGGGACGGTGCCCTTTTTGCCGAATACGCGCGTGAGGAGCTGCCACATGCTCTTGCCTGTGACGTCGGGGTTCTGCTCCGAGCCCGAGAGCGCGAACTCGCGCGCGATGATGCTCTGGTCGAGGATGAACCAGGTGTAGTCATACCCCGTGGCGCAGATGTGCTTCAGCGTGCCGAGGGTGTCGGTGCCGGGGAAGAGGAAGGGCGGGAGGCGTTTGCCCGTCGCGTCGAGCCACAGCGAGCTCGGGGCCGGGAGGACGCGGATGCCGTGGTTGGGCCAGATTGGGTTCCAGTTTTGCAGGCCTTCGGTGTAGTGCCACATACGGTCGCGGTTGATGACGTTGGCGCCGACTGTTTCCGCGATGCCAATCATGCGGCCGTCGACGTGGGCTGGAACGCCGACGACAAAGTTCTCGGGGACTTTGGGGCCGAGACGGTCGATGGGCCACGCTGCTTTCACGGCTTCGACGTTTCCTCCGATGCCGCCGGATGTTACTGCTACGGCGGACCCGAATATCTCGAAATCGCCTGCGATATCACGGTTGGATTTGACGCCGCGCGCCGAGTCGTCGGGTGCGAGGACCTTTCCGCGAACGCCGATGGCGCGACCCGTCTCGTCGGTGATGATCTCGTCCACGCGGTGTCGGAACCGGAACTGTACGACACCATTCTTGGCCGCGCGCCTCACGGGCTCCTCAAAGACCCTCACGACCTCCGGCCCCGTACCCCAGGTAACGTGGAACCGCGGCACCGAGTTGCCGTGTCCCTCAGCCATGCCCGCGCCCCTCTCGGCCCAGCCGACGTTGAAGAGGAAGCCCATGCCCCTGGCCTTGACATACTGCTCCATCTCGTCCGAGGCGAAGTTGACAAAGGCCTCGGCCCACCTCCTCGGCCAGGTATCCTCCTTCTCACGGTCAAACTGCGCAGAGCCGAACCAGTCCCGCATAGCGAGCTCCCTCGAGTCCTTGATGCCCATCCGTCGCTGCTCTGTCGAGTCGACGCAAAAGATGCCGCCGAGCGACCAGAAGGCCTGGCCGCCTAGATTCGCCTCGTTCTCCTGGTCGATGATGATGGTTGGCACGCCCCGCTCCGAGAGCTCAAACGCCGCGACGAGGCCCGCTAGCCCGCCGCCGACGATGATGGCGGGCCGCTCGAGGAGCTCCTTCTGCTTATCTGCGCTCATTGCTGCAAAGGTCGGACCTGCTGTTGAGGGGGAGCCGTGGGAAGGTTTCGCGGGGCTGCGGAGGAGGATGTGGCGGACGATGAGCTTGAGGAGCCAGACGGAGGCGCCTAGACCGGCGAGAGTGGCGAGGGTCTGGGTTGGTGTTTGGGGGAGGGGGAAGATGTCGCGCACGTTTTGCAGTTGAGGCGCCATGGCCCTTTTTGGGTTGAGTGTTGCGGAACAGGAAGAGGGCTGTCTGTCAGCTTTATGAAGGAGTGAATAGCGTAGACCAGGTGAGATGGGAGGTCCAGGGTGGTTGGTCGGGATGTCAAGGTAGTATCTTGGCGGGCTGGGCGGACGAATTGCCTGATTCTCGGGTCACTGAAGACTGAAAGGAGATGTCCCGGCCGAATGGAGCTGTGTTTCCAGAGCTTGCAGATTGGCTTATGGTGTGACGACCTGCTTGAAATAGGCACAAATGTGATTGTATGTGGTGGGATGTTTCTCTCGGCTGCGGGGGGAACGACGGTTTCTATCTGCCTCTTGGAGCTTGGGTGCTCACTGTTCTGGTCCGACGGCGTGAATTTGAGGCGCAGGGGGGGGGGGGGCAAAGTCCGCGGAAGGCCGATCTGCGACGCCGTCTGTTCCGGCACGCGGGAACTCAGGGAAGGGTGCTTGAGGATCGGAAAGATTATTTGATTGTTTTGCTATGAGATGGAGATGTTTTGTGATACGAAGCACGAGGGGGGAAGATGAGTGATAGCTTCAGTGAGTGGACGAGTGAGTGAGAGAGTGAGAGAGTGAGGTGAAGCATGAGATGAGATTCACAGTGAAGCCGACAAAGCTCACTAAGCTGACGAGACGCACAGCTGACATGTGAGTTGGAGTGAGATGAGCTGCAGCACCATCGCATCCGGCGACACACAGCTGCAACGGGCGAGTTGCAGGGGAGTTTGACAGCCCCCCGAGTCAGCTAAACAGCTCAGGGTCCCTGACTTCCCCATGCTTCATTTGTTTCCCTGGTGCGGGGTATCATTGTCCGAGTCCATCGGCTTGCAGGACATGCCTCGGCTCACCGAGCTGTCAACCCCGTATTCTCATCACACTATGCCACTCTCGTCAGTCTTCTTAATTCCGCACGAAAGCCATCAGTTCATCTCAATAGATTGTATTTGTCCATAGCTTCAATGTTACGCTCATTCCTGGACCTTGACGACAACCTTGCCGAAGTGTCCTCCGCTGTGCAGGTAATTGTACGCCTTATCCGCCTCCTTGAACGGGAACACCCGGTCCACGACAGGCTTGATACCCTTCTCCTCGTAAAAGTCAATCATTTCCTCGAACCGCTCCCTCGGACCGTTAATTATGCCCTTGAGTGTCACCGTCTTCTTCAGCGCGAGCAGGTTGACATTTGTCCGGTCCTCTACGTCGTCGACTTTACCAGAGAGATACCCAATGCACGCAATCTGCCCGCCGAAGCCAATCGCCTCAAAGGACTGTCGCAGCGTCTTCGCCCCGCCGGTTTCGAGTATGAGGTTAGCGCCCTCGCCGTTGGTGAACTCGTTGACTTTGTCGTCCCAGTTGGGTGTGGTCCGGTAGTTGACAGTGTAATCCGCCCCAAGAGCCTTTGCCTTTTCCAATTTTTCGTCCGAGGAAGAAGTGATGATGACTTATCGAGATCATTGTTAGCGATTGTAAGCTGGACTCTGTCGGCGCGAACATCACTTACCCGTGGCTCCTGAAGCCTTTGCGATTTGCAACCCCGAAATAGCCACACCACCAGTTCCCTGACAGACCACAACTTCGCCCTGGCCACCAGGCTGACTCAGAGGTCGGAACTGGTTGATTGACATCCAAGCCGTCACAGCAGCAATGGGAAGAGTCGCGGCCTCTTCGTCGCTCAGGTGCTTGGGCGCCTTGACCAACCCCTCAGCAGAGAAGACGCGATACGTCTGCAGAACACCTTCCAACGGGAAACCGAGACCGCTCTTCATATCCACAGGCTTAATCTGGCCCTTGATATGCGTCTGGTTGAAGATCGAAACGACGCGATCGCCAGCCTTCCATCTGCTGACGCCGTCGCCTACAGAGACGACGGAGCCACACATGTCCGATGCTGGAACAATTGGCTCCGTCTCGGCCGGGTTGATTGTCTTGTGGTGGTTGTAGAGGCCCATGGCCACCTCCGTGTCTCGGTAGTTGAGAGACACGGCGCTGATCTTGACGAGCACCTCGTCGGGTCCGGGCTGCGGCAGGGACGCCGTGGCGAGGAAGAGCTTGTTCAGCCCGTCTTGGCGGGTTTGCCAGCGTTGAACTTGCGTGTCGGTGCTCATGATTGCTTTCTTTCTTTCTCCCTTTGAGTGCGTCTCTGCGACGTCTCCCACTTTCCTTGAATGCTGCCTTTTGCTTTTGAGATCTTGGCCAGGCGAAAATCAACCCTTCGAGGATTGAAGGATGACGCATGTATTAGAAATCATCTTCAGATGATCCCCGCAACGGTGGAGCGCGGCGGGGCGTTACCTTCGCCGTGGCACGAGTTCCACGACCTCGAAGCTCCGGATCGGCCTGGAAGTCTCGGGGCCGAGGATCACTTACCCGGGCTCACCCAAGTAGCCGACTTGACTAGAATTCGGTGTAGAATAGGTCCTCAAGCACCTCTACGTAATAGGGTCATCCTCTGCAGCAGTAAACATGCACGCCGCTACGCCAGACTTGCAAATTCAGTGTCTTTCAAGATCCAAGCTTCACAACTCCAAGAATTAAAGCCATATGACTACTAATCCCCCGGTATATCACGTCAGGGTATGACCTTCAATTCAATGAGCATCAAATTCTTCGTGATTTTCATGCTGATTACGCTTCTTCTTTACGAGTCACAGCTGAGAATAGATATACACGTGTAAAAGACTCCTGTGCCAAGGCATTGAGCGTCGCCAAAGTGGGATGAGATACATGCACCATCAATGCTGCCGTCGTTAGACCGTAAGCACGGCACCATCTTGGCCGCTCTATGGTCTCAAAGGCGCCCAATCAGGATGCAGATTTGGATCGTCGGAGCAGACCACGCATCCCATCTTTCCCTTCAGCCTATCCATGAAATTACCCTCAGGTATAACTCCTCCATGATAAATAAGCTGGTGGAAGGTATGCTGATTCATCAGGGTTGGTATATCACACTTCTTCGCCCCAGACCTAGTCAAAATGCACCACCAAGTCAGCTTTCTGGTTCATTGTTTGTTGCCGTGAGGGCTAAAACACCACATACGCGTAGAAATTACAACGATCGGACATTGTGAAATACGTCGACATCGTGATCTCTCGCTGCTTCGCTTCTTCGAAGCTCTGAGGTTGCCCTTTGTAATGGCACCATAGACTGCATTCTCCGGTGTGGTTCGGACCGAGACAGAGCACCAGGTCGCATAAGCGGTGCACAGCTGCCTGCTCAGAAGCCTCAGCGCCTTCGCCACCTAAGCTGGCCATGTACTGGAGGTACTTGTCCCAGTCGTCTTTCCTGACAAGGGCATCCTTCGGGTCTGTGGGTGTTGCGTCATTGAATGAGGCAGGGGATGCCATCGCAGCTGCGGCAAGGGCAAGGGTCAGGAGATTCAGGATGGCCATTTTGGTTTTGGGCATGGAAAGCCTTCTTCGAGTACCATCAGTTGGCTTTGCGCTATTTAGCTGATGCCTTGGAAGTATGAGTTCCATGAGTGGGATTCTGATTCTTATGTATCCTTTGCCAACATCCTGCGTGGTCTAATAGGACAGTAGACTGACGAACAGTCAGCTTTGATATTGAATCTTTCCACATGACCATGCGCCAAGACTCAGCTTCTGGCCGGAACAAACGCGAGATCTTTGATGCAGCACTCGTAGAATGGGTTCAAGGATAAGAATCAATTGGACACTGCTGCGTAACGTGATAGGTTAATGGTTCGTATTATCGAAATTCGCCTGCATCATAGGACTAGACTGAACTGACAGGCTGCCAGTAATGAGGCTTTGCGAGAACAGCAAAACGAATCCGCCTTAACGAGGATCTTTGTAGATAAATTTTATGGCGTTGAATTACTCGGCTTTCTGCTTCTTCTCGGTGTTTCTGAGGGCCTGTACAGAAGTAACGTCGTCGTGATCGAGGGCCCAAGATCATGTACAAGATATGGCGAAGAGCCACATATGACTGATCATACACATTGGAATCGCGGCGTAGATGAGCAGCAGGTCAACGAACGCAATGAAGCGGTCAAAAGCCGAATCAATTGCAAGGTCAAATTTCATCTTTTTGGACCTGACTCGACCCAACCATACGTTCCATGCGTCACCAAGACCATTACCGGCACGTGTGACATGTACGCAATGCTGGCTCCCCCTTGCTTGACTGTGTTACGAACAGCAACATTGTGATCAAAGGATATGGCAAACTTGTAGTCAAAGTCAAAACCAAACCTCACCGCTCAGCCAATACGTTTTGCGACTTCCAGGCTGGTTCAATGAAGCGCGCGTCGCTCCGTCTGCTGCATTTCACGTCGAATGAGGTTAGGGGCTGCTTTGGTGAGTACGCATTACGGTATAAGGCCCGTCTGCGGTCGATCATGGGTGCCAATCAGGTGCAAGCAAGTACGACTGCTTCTCCACAGAATGATTGATTCTGAACTTTCTTTGAAAGCCCGGTTGACCACCCTGAGTCGAGAAGTGATTAAGCTTAATAGGGGGCTGGCCTCAGGGGTGACACGGTAAGCGAAAACGAATTGTTCAGAGCCCAAGCCGTCGGCGAACCCATGACTTTTTCTTGACTGAATAGCAATCCAATTTGTATGGAAGCTTGTAGACTTCGCGTAATCGCAAACCTGAGAAAATAAACCTGGTTCTGTAGTGATATCAAATTCAGCAATCACCGAGTTCGAGCAGTACGCCCGACAAAGTTTGTACCATTGTTCCAGCGTAACGATGCTTGGCATTGACGCTTCACTCAGGGCGCTCTAGACATTGTATTCCTCGTCAAGTATCAAGTATCAAGGGGTCAAACCCAGTAGCGGACTCGTCCGCAGTCTTGTGTCTTTGGCGACCGGACTTTACATAACGTGCGAGGGCCGACAAATAAAAGTGTTGGCAGATGCGACTATGTTTCATCTAGGCTATCTTGGCATTCCACTTTCCATTAGAGCCCACCTCCCACCTCTCCGCCCCTGGAAAATGCCATCCATACGCTGTTCCGAGCATTCGGGTTCGCGATCGCACGTACTTCTGGTGAAGGTAGTGGTAGGCATTAAAGTGAAACTCTAGTTGAAATTCCTCAGATCTCGGACTTTGTTTAGTGGGTGTAGTTATCGTTATTGACCCTATGGTGAAGTTGATGGTGCGTTCACCGCGCTCATTACATTTTCGGCCATGATTTGCTCCTGGCTTTTGAGATAGAAAGTAAGGTAACCTACCGAGTCCGGCGATCCGGCTCATCATCTCAATTCTCAACTTCGTAGCTGCTCAGGGGCAGTGATTCTCTGGCAATCAGGCGAAGATCTAAGGTTCGTCCCATCTATTAAACTTCCGCTGTAGTGGGGTAGCATTACGGACTGCTCCGTGGCGTGCTAGCTCTAAGGAGCGCTACCGTCCGCAGCGTTTCAATTAGAGAGAGGAGACCTGACTCGAAAGCGTACCGTAGCACTGTAGACAGGAACCTCCGGGGCTATCGGGCCTCTAGATCTAGGGGAAGGAGATGTCAAATTAGAACAGGCTAAAGGGTCTACATACAAGATGTATATAATCACCGGAGTATGACCGCCCGTGATGGAAACGATTGCTGATTGACTTCTCATCTATCTTTCGCCTTCTCGTTCTCAAGTGCTTGCACTATTTCCATTCTTTTCTTCAAGGTCGCTTCGCAGACCGTTCCATTCTTTCCTCGAGATTTCCTCGACTACATTCATTTCGCCACTCAAGAACCAGACGTACCAACAAGATGTGGCAAGGATCACATTTGGCTTTCATCCTCGCCGCAGCGGGTTTCTTCGCCCCGGGTGTTCAGGCCGTCGACACCCTCGTTGATGTCGGTTACGCCCAGTTCCAAGGCGCCGTGACCGATGCGGAGCTGGGCGTGACGACTTGGAAGGGTATTCAGTTTGCTGCTCCTCCGGTGGGCGACCTCCGCTTCGCCGCGCCGGCCGACCCGGTCCAGTCCGGACTTGTCAACGCCACGGCACACGGCCCCATCTGCCCTCCCCAGCAGCCCACCGATTGGACCGTTTCCAGCACCAACCCGCGCTTCACCGTCGACGAGGACTGTCTCTACCTTAGTGTTACGGCCCCCTCAGATGCGCAAACCGACTCTAGACTGCCCGTCGTCTTCTTCCTCCAGGGTGGCGGGTTCGGATCCAACTCGAACGCAAACTGGGATGCCAGCGAGATTGCTTCGGATGGAAACGTTATTGTTGTTCAGATCAACTACAGAGTTGGCATGTACGGCTTCCTCCAGGGTGAGGAGGTCCGGGCTAGTGGCGGTCTCAACGCCGGAGTCAAGGATATGGTGAAAGCTCTTGAGTGGGTTCAGACCAACATTGGGCACTTTGGCGGAAACCCCGAGCAAGTTGTCCTCGACGGTGTTAGTGCCGGCGGTTCAGCTGTCGGTCTTCTCATGACTGCTGATCTCGGCAGCAAGCAGCTCTTTGCTGGAGGTATCGCGGAGTCTGGCGGCTGGGTTACGATGCGCACCATGGAGCAGGGACAGGGCCAGTACGACTGCCTCGTCAAGGAGAAGAACTGCACTGATGCAACTGACTCTCTTACCTGCCTTCGCGCCTTGAACCAGTCTGCAGTTCGTTCTTCAAGCTGCTGGTTCAACCCGGGTATCGATGGCGAGCTCTTCACCGACAGCATGGTCAACCTCTTCAAGCAGGGCAAGTACAATAAGGTTCCAACGATATGGGGATCTTGCGCCCAGGAGGGGACCATGTACTCTGCTCCTCAATCTACCAACTCTACTGAAGAAGCCAACACTTGGCTCCTCGGACAAGATCCCTCCCTATCCAACGCATCCCTCGCTATCCTTGACGATCTTTACATCAACACCCCCCGCACCGTCTACCCCGAGTCTGGAATCAAGTGGAGGCAGACCGCCGACGCGATTGGTGACATTGGCAACCACTGCATCATCCGCAACATTCAGAACTACCTTGCCCGGGACGAAGCCATCACCTACAACTACAAGTTCGCCGTCCAGGACCCCAAGAACGAGGCCGAGGGCTTCGGTGCGTACCACACTGTAAACACCTACGCCTTCTGGGGTAACAACAGGACCGATGGCCAAGCGCCCGAGTCCTACTTCACCATCAACAAGCCCATCATCTCGCAGTTCCGCAAGTACTGGGTCTCGTTCATCCGCAACCTGGACCCCAACACCGACCGTGAAAAGGGTGCTGCCGAGTGGAGACCATTCACTGGTCCCGAAGGCCGTGAACGTCTGTTTGTGCAGACGAACAACACCCATATGGAGAGGATGAGCACTGCTCAGAACTTGCGTTGCGATGTTGTCAGACCTACGTCGGAGAACTTGGGCAAGCCGGTGAACACTGGCGTAGTCACTGAGCTGGATGCTACCCTGGCGGCTAGCATCAACAGCACCACTGAGGACACCAAGTTCAGAAAGAGACACGTTAGACAGTTCTCTCGGTACTACTAAGCGTATCACTGTGTTACATTTTCATAGAGAATATCACATTCAAACTTGAAGAATACCGGACAATCGCAATCTACCAGTTTCCCTTACCCGTATGATAAACACATTGTCGAGTTTCTCATCCCAGAGAGCAGCAAGAAGAGAGAGGAATAAATTGCAAGAGGAAGTGAACCTTCGTGGCAAGTCCGCCCATTCCAATGATTCTGTCGCTCCCCTGAGTGTTTCATTTGTTACATCATGTCAAACTGCTGGGCTCTTATAGTCGAAACACCATCTGCCACGTTGGCTGGCTCACATTACAGAGTCGACGGCTGCATCAGCTTCGTCTTCACTGGTAGAAAACCCGTGGGATTGGTCAATTCAATCATCTTTATTTGTTGGCGTCGACGCATAAATCTTTTCATACGCAAACGAGTACAGACTGAGACCCAGGACTTTCGTCATTTCTCATACTGCACGACCATCCCACTCCATTGAAGGATTCAACATCTCCCTGCAGCAGTTGTCAGCAAACATTCACAAAGCTGGTCCATATCTCGTCAACACTTACAAGAGCTGATCTGGTTGTCATAATCTCCCGAGTAGCCCTGGTCATCTGCCACAGCGAGGTTGTAGTTGTAGCTGAGCGAAACACCACGGTCATCACCCTTGTTGTTACAGTTGCTATCTGAATGTCAATTGGGAACCAGTGAGAACGAGTCTATGAGGATACTAACATGAACTTGTAGAACTGGCAAAGTCCGCCGGTGTTTGAGCTCAAAGAGGTAGTTTGGTTCTCGTACTTGTCAAGGAAAGCCTGGGTCTTGTTGAAGCTGGAGTAGTTGACTAAATGGGATTCCACATCAGCAACTGGGCCTCTGAGTGAGTGACGCCGCCGCCATATATCAAGACTTACCGCATCGTCCGGGAGGAGCACCCCAGGAGAGGCACTCGCCGAGGAATCCGGCCTCGGAGCATTGGAGGAGGAAGATATTCTCGGGAATCACCGGCGGGCGGTTAGGATCGGGGTTTCCATCTCCGGGAACCGCTTGTCGCTTCTCGTTGGTCGCTACGAGATTAATGAGGTTCGACTTCTGGAACGCAGCGAAGGCTTCGGGATGCTTCTCCTGAACGCTCTGGGCAACGGTGATGATGTTGGTGTTCTCTTGGATCTCGGGAAGAGCAGCGGCTTGCTGGAATGCCCAAGAAGCCAGCACGACCGACGTGAGAGATGTGAGCTGCATGATGCCTGTGTATATGACAAACGCTGGGTATGTATGTATGTACTCGAGAAATCGCGACTGAAGCAACTGGGGGTTCAAAGTGGCGCAAGACGGATAAAGAGTGAATAAGTAGGAGGAGTCTGTCTGTTTAAACAAGCTCGGGGGCTTTTCATTTCATTTACTATTGTTTTCAAAAAGCCCGTCTGCCAAGTGTCACCCCGCTCAAAAGAAACCACGCCGGTTAAGGTTCACGACTTGTTTACGAGGGTCGCCCATGTGCGAGTCATTATCGGAAGCGAAATAGTGTCTAGTGTCCACTCGATCCAGGGCGAGAGAAACGTTGATGAAATCAGTTCAGACCGTCAATTGGCCCGGCCCCATATCCTGGAGTTGCATCGAGAAACCCAATTGTTCCGTTTTGCCAGAATTGCCTCGCTGTTCCCGTGATATTTGTCCAGGGAGTCGCGATCAACCAAGTCCCTGAATCAATCTCGAGGAGCATGGAAATCGTGATCTTGGCTATATCCGGTTCATCCGAAAAGTTATGCCCTGCAGGTTCACAGAACTCAATTTTCACCAGCCACAACGGCTGCAATATTGACCTCCCTGAAGCGGCAGCGAGTCAATATAATAGACTCTTTGAGACCGCAATGCCAAGATGTCGACTGGTTCCGCATACATGGATATCCAAGAGAACTTTCATGGCAAAAGGCACCACGCAGCTCCCGAGATGAGTTCGAATGCTTGAACTCCTATTACCCAGTGCGACGGAGAATATCTCCCCCGCTTCGGGAATAGAGAAATAACTCAAATCTAGTATCCGCAGGCGACACCCGACTGCTGAATGATGTGGCAGGAACGGGCCTGTTGCAATTGTTCTTTCAAGTCGCCAGGTGCCAGCAACTCGAAGCCAACCTATTCACGGGACGAGTGGTCTATCAGACTTTAGGGGAATTGGTTCATCACTTATTCTCCCTTTAGACATTTTGTAGTTTTGTGAAGGCTTTCCTTGTCTGCCAGCTGCCATCCAGTACCAACTTGCTGTCTCCACCACCGCCCGTGGGAAAGAATTATGCTTTCACCCATTTTATCCATGATTGAAGGGTTTTATTTCTGAATATTTCCTCAATAGTAAAAGAGGATTCGCAATACTTTTGGAAAAGAAGTTATGCCAACTCAAATTTGATCGTGCTCTCTTGCTGGCTTTAGCGAAGACGATGATGATCCAAATCCCAATCTGAAGCTAGACACAATTGATTGAGGTACTCAAACTTGGGATACCATTCAGCTTCTTGAAGGCAACACACTCGCATTGAATATGTGCAAGTTATTTAGGCGCATGGCTAGATTTTCCTCCCTATCTATTCTTTGATTTGGAGACGCTAAGTAGAACCATCAAGTCTCCACGGTACCAGCCAGACCTTAGGTAAATAAAGAAATGGCTACGGTTGTTCGTATACTGCTGGAACAGCTCGTGTTTTCCAGTTACTTGTCTCGCTAGTTCATTGATTTGATTCTTTACAATACGTTAAAGATGAGCTGTTGAACCCGATGAACCGAGCACGCGCGGGAAGCCAGTGTTTTCCGGTTCGAACCACCGTCATAACTACTTGCAGGTAATTCGCAACAGCCCAGTCAATGCAGCCAATCTGAGTATTCGACGTTCCCGCCGCTGAGCGGGGCTCTTGCGACTGGGATGTCAATACGGAGGCGAGTCCTTTGGAAATACCTTGAACTTGGAGTCGTTATCGCCTCAAGTTGATAGCATTGAGCCGTATCAGATAGGCATTGCCTCATTAGGATTGTAATTAGCACCTCAGGAGAACGCCGTTGAGTGCATTACTGTTATGGGAGGCTACTTTCGGCCTCGGAAACCGGGGTTGCTATCTGTACTAAGCACCTTTGCTGGACTTGAACAAGTTGCAGAGGTTCCAATAGTCGGATCATCATGCGCCGGCTTTAAGGGGGTAGACAAACATAGGTAGGATAAGTGGAATTTGCTAGATTGGCACCGAATCGACGGACACACCAACCAACGGCTCCCATATGGAATCCAGACAAAAGGAACATTGTTAGCAACTGGCTGTGGTGCGTTCCTCCTGTGTTCTAGAAGCCAACGTCTGCATGTTTCAGCGGCGGACGGGTTTCTTTTTGTTTCCCGCGAGACCAAACGGAGCCCGTTTCGGATAAACGTTGAGCGGCTTTGCAGTGCCGGCATCAGAAGAAAGGAGGCAACGCATTCATTTGAGAAACTGAGAATTACAGATAACCGTCCTCTCAGCTTGACGGCCTCCGATGCTGCCTCTGACATGAAGTCTTCCTCGGCTGTTTTGCCAAAAAGCACCCTCTTTTTGCTTTTTTGCCCCGCATGATACGGCAGACAATGCCAGGAAGATCAGAAGCAGGCGTCAAATTGAGTGATGCGAGATGATCATCGCTTCAGGCCAGAAATTCGGGTCAAGAATCTCTAAAAAGATGGATTTGATGACCCGCGAGTCAAGGACATGTGTTGAAATTGTTATACATACATGTCAAGTTTCTAAAAAGAGCCTTGTCTACCCAGCCTCCTGCGCAGCGCGTGGCTGGCAATTAGGATTAAGGACACATTAAGGCTTGCACGAGCACTAGACAAACTGCGCAAGGGATAGGGATAGACATAACCGGCTACTAGTCTATGCCCCGGCACCGAGGATCTACACTCCTCCGCACGGAAGCTCCTCCGTGTGCTCCGGAACCCACTCCGGGATCCTTCTTAATTCTCCGTGACGCGATTCCAAGTCAGGTCTGGTCGCAGATGTAGCTCGATCCCCACCGAGAGTTTCCCCCTTGCAGCTTTTTTGTGGCAGAGCACCGATGTCCCCAAACTTGAAATAAGCAACAAAGCCCGGTCACCTCGTGGTCCCGAATGCCCCATACGTGCTCTCATGCTGCCTTCTCAAGCCTCCAACAACAAAACGACCCGAGATCACTCCAACTCAAAGCTTCCAAGACTTTTGCTTCTCCCGTGCTCTCCCAACTCTTAAGCTACCAGATCGGCGCTGAGATCGTCCGAGGATGCGGTCCATGCGCCGAGACAGCAGCGACAGAACCTTGCGGGACTGTGCGGCTGCATGTCCCTTGAAACCAAACACCGCCCATCAGCTGTCACGCCAGCGGGTGTGAGCACAGCGCCCCAAGCTCTTGAGCTCATCTTTTGGTGTCTCGATAGGCGTTTCGCGGGCATAGCCAAGATACGTCCGTCCAGTATGCCTGGTCTGCGACACCATGTGTTGAGCCGCTTGCCGGCTTCCCTTTTCTTTGAGCTTCCCCGTCGTTAGTTCGTGTAGACCTTGGTATTTCTCCAGAATTTAATCCAACTAGAACACACCGCATTGTCAGCAGGAAGCTTGTCTCTAGAGCGACGAGTGTATCCTCATCCATCATGGCCACCGCCAACGATTCCTTTTCCAACCAGTCCTCCTGGGGACCCCTCGAGACACTGCAGGCATTCCCAAGTCCGTTGGAGAAGCCAGTACCATACTTCATCACAGCTTTCTTGCTCTTTGTCTTCTACTTTTCCATACAGCAAGCAGAGCAAACGCCTCACACAGATCTGCCAATTGTCAACCCTAAGCACAAGTGGGATTTCACAGGGCTGAAAGTCAAGTATGACTTCATCACAAAGGTCCGGAATATCGTGCTGGAGAGGTCGAAGACGAACCCCGATGAGCCCTACCAGGTATTGACGGACATGGGAGACATGACGATCCTTCCTGCGGTACCCTTTGCCAACGAAATCCGCAACCATGAGGACCTCAGCTTCGACCGTGTTCTCGACAAGGTAAGTTATCTCATCGAACAAGCTTCCATGGTCCATACTGATTTCATGTAGAATTTCCACGCACAGATGCCCGGTTTCGAGCCTTTGAAGGAGAACAACGCGCAGAAAGCCGTCCTCAAATACGTCATCCGAACAAGATTAACCCAGTTCCTCTGTAAGCCCGAATCATGCTATGCTGTAGCCTTTGACTCAAACTGACTACTTGCAGCAAAGCTGACATCTCCTGTGTCCGACGAGGCAACACTTTCACTGACTGATGTTCTGGGAGAGGACAAGGGTAAGCTCTCCAGTCTGGTTCCATTGGGACAACCTCCTAACAAAGCACAGAATGGTCGACCGTGGTAATCAAAGAGAACATGCTCAAAGTTGTAGCCCGAGTGTCTACCCGCGTCTTCGGCGGCGAGGAACTCTGCCGCAACCAAGACTGGATCAAGATTACCTCCGAATACGCCCGAACCAGCTTCCTCGCCTCTGAGTTCCTCCGAATGTTCCCCAAGTCTCTGCGTAACCTTGCCCACCAAGTCCTTCCCATCTGTCGTCAGCTTCAAGCGCAGGTCAAGGAGGCTAGAGAGATCATTAACCCCATCATGGAGGAGCGCCGCAAGGAAAAGAAGGCGGCTTTGGATCGCGGCGAGGAGGAGCCTGAGTGGAACGACTGTCTCGACTGGTGCGAAGAAGCATCCGACGACGCCAAGTCGGACCCTGCGATGATGCAGCTTGGACTTTCTTTCGCCGCTCTACACACCACGTCCGATCTCATCACGCAGGTAATGCTCGACCTTGCCAAATACCCCGACTACTTCGAGCCGCTTCGCAAGGAGATTACCGACGTCATCCGCACTGATGGCTGGGCTCGCATGGGTCTATACAAGATGCGCCTCCTGGACTCCTTCTGCAAAGAGACCCAACGCCTTCACCCCATTGGCATCGGTAAGTCCTTGCTTGATCTCTCTGGCAACCATCACTAATATAAATCTTGTCTAGTTGCCATGCACCGCGAAGCCACCAAGCCAGTGACCCTCTCCAACGGACTGGAACTCCCCGAGGGCAGCCGCATCGCTGTCAGCTGTCAAAAAATGACCGATGGCTCCGTCTACTTGGACCCTAGTCGCTTTGACGGGTACCGTTACCTGCGCATGCGCGAGTCCCTTGGCGCCGGAAACGATGGAGCCGCGCACTTTGTCAGCACTTCGCCCGAGCACCTTGGCTTCGGTCACGGCCAGCACGCATGCCCTGGACGTTTCTTTGCCGCCAACGAGGTCAAGATCATTCTCTGCCACCTCCTTCTCAAGTACGACTGGCGACTGGCGGCCGAGCAGCAGCCCAACACGATCAATTTTGGATTCACTATGGAGGTTGACCCCAAGGCCAAGCTCGAGATCCGGCGGAGGACCGGCGACTTGGGCCTCAAGGCATGAGGGGGTTCCGTGCGCTGCGGTCGGGGACACAAGCATCCTCGGGCGTACTTGCATGTGTGATTTATTTCTGGTTAGGCATGCATTTGCTGGGTTTCACTGAGCTCATGTAATTAAGGTCGGACGATGGTCATAGCAATGAGCCAAACAGATTGGATTAGCTAGGCGTTGAATGCATTCTTTGAATCAGATTACCTCCCTTCGAATCTGTTTCCTCGTGAAAGAACTGATCGACTTGTTGAATTCATGTATGCTGTTCCTACCGATTTCAGACACAATTGTTCAGAAACAAGTTTCAACACTGAGCAACCTCCAAGGAGGCACAATCAAATTAAATCGTAGCGTGGTATCGTCCGATTCCTATTAGAAACATCATCTCACTTCCGGCCTGCTTTTGGGACTTACGCAAGGATTCATCCTGTCTACGGCCCGCAAGCAAGTCTCTCGCCACGTTGCGCCGACGGTCTCTCTGTTTCGTCAGCTGGACCTCTCAAATACTCGACATAGTTTACTGGCTTCTGGGCCCCCGTCTGAAGCCATGAATGAGAATTCGTTAGTGCATCAACTTTCCGTACCCTTTGGATGGTCGTGTCGCCTCGGTAGACGATGAGCACCCGGCCGTTGACGCAAAACGTTGGTAACGGCAGTCATTTCTCGTCAACCGCCATCTTTCCCTGGTTCTAGATCGTCTGAGCCCCGTACTCTTTCCACGATTCTAGGTTCTGGGGGAGTTTGACCGAGGCAATCTCGGCTCCAAACACTGGCATAGCGCTTTAAAAGCCAGTCTTCAACCACGCTCGACCTTTCTCTTGCATTCGCAGTGGAGAGAAACTTTACTAATTGAGAGACTGGCTACGGGCTTTCCCGGTCCGCAGCGTGACTTACCTTGCTTGTCTACAGTCATTGGATGACTAGTCAATGTTGGAAATGTGAGCCATCGACGCTTGCACGATAACCTTAATTCATCCTTCAACCGTCTGATGGAGAGCTTCTTGGCAATAACCCTCCCGCAGCCTTCGCCAGGCTAATCTAGAAACTCGGAGGGAGGATTGGGCAAAGACTTATCAAAGAACCATCCAGGTAAATCACGTCTGATAGTGAAAGCCGACAGAGTATCAAGAAGTCAAACTAGGTAATGCGCAACACTGTTGATCGTACCATGACTGGATAAAGCAATTCCATACTAGTATCTAGTTGAGGAGACCTTTGAGCGATTCCATCTGTTTCAACTCTTCCAACAGGTCCGTAAAATCTTTGACTCCGTGCTTTTCGCTCATCTCCTTAAAATACGGCAGTTGCTGCTTGAGCCACGCTTCCTCATGACCTGCGTCGGGAATAGCCATTCCGCCCTCTCTGATCGCCAACATCGGCGTAAAAACAACCATCAAAAGCCGCTTTGCCTCATCAAACTCGGCCTCTTTACCCGGCTCCTTGATAGCACCGTTCCAGGCATCTTCGATCTTGGCTGCCAGTGCGTCAAAGTCATCTTTCGTGCGAGAAGCCGAGGTTCGAACTAGCGCGACAATGCGGTTCGAGTTGCTAGTGTGCGACTTTCCAGCCATGAAGTAGGTTCCATCATCGGACTTTGATTCTTGTTTAATGAAGTTGACATGGACGAAAAAGGCCGGTGTGCTGAAAGTGCTGCAGTGAAGATTGGTGATCGAAAGAGCGATAGATTCCCGCTGTTTCTGGGTGAGAGGATAGGTATGGTAAACCTGATAGAAAGGCATGATGTAGACGCGATGATCAGACGCTAAGGTCTATCGACGGTGTAGTTTTCAGAAGCTCCGGAAATGGCTGAGCAAGGGTTTAAATGGGGGTATCAGACTTTGAATGGTAACACTCTCTGGCGATGCATCGAATGAAGGGATTGAGAGGTCTTTATTTCTCGTCAATACCTAAGTAGTAATAAACCACCTTAGCTTGAGCTAGATCAGTAATCTGATTACATCTCATGAGGGGCCTTGAACGTCGAAGGGCGTATGTCGACGTCACAACCATTTACTTTGCGGGGTAAAACGACCTAGGTCGCTCTACAGTTACATGCAGATCCCGCCGGCCCGATCCCGACGCAGACCGGCTGGTGGGAGACTAGCACGAGACCGACGCTCAAGGGTACAACCGGCGACCCACAGCTACTGGGCGAAGAATACCCTCTTTCTCAAGATCACTCACTAGATTGGCGAGATGATGATCGCATCCCCTTGCCATTCTCAAAGCCATCGTCACTGGCAGATATTCCGTATGCAATGACTTGATGCTGTTGTAAGGGACCTCTCCAATGGGAACCACTACTTCCGGGGCACCGGCCATGACCGGGACGGAAGAGTCGTCGAAGCCCAGCGGAGGTGTAGTCCGGGCCTGGATGTATACATCGCGATAGGATGGCTGGCCCACAGACCAAGGATAGATGTAGAGTCCCTCAGAGCATGACTCAGGATCATGTCGTCCGTAGCCTTCGGTCTCATACCAGGATCTAAAAAGGGAAATGTTGTGAAGACCTTGTGCATAGACTTCTTCCGTCGAATGAACCTGACCCCATTCCCATCTGGCGAGGGGTCCTGGATTGATGTATGGCTGACGCCCGTCAAACTTTGCTGCGTAGTCCTCGAAGAATGGCTTGCCGAGTTCTTGCCACTGATCATAGGAAACGTAGACGCCGTAGGTGAGGTAAAGCATCTCGTTGACATCTGCAGGTGCTTCTCCGTGAGTTTCGCTCCAGAGCTGCGTGTAGTTTGCAGGAGTTGAGTTGGCTTGTAGGAAACTTTCCAACTTTCCTACGAAGCTAGTGATGACATTGGTGGCTTCATCGCTGACATTACCTCCAGACCAAGCACCTCCTCTAGCCGTTGATTGGTAGAGTATCGTCGGGTAGGAAGTGTAGTTGGAAGCAAAGTCAGGGTACCAAGCCTGCGTGACCTTGGCCCAGAGACTGCCACTGCGAGCGAACATTCCGGCGGTATCTGAGACGGGACTCAGAGGAATGACATGCTCAAGAGAAATGGCGCCCGTGGAGGGCCGGTTTCCGAAGAGGCCTTGGGATCCTGCCGGACCGCGCATGGAACCACCAGTGTCGCTGCCGACAGCAAGATCAAGCCAGTCGTATGCACCTACCCCTGCCCCGGGGCCGGTAGATGACCCGCTGGGGTCCTGATATCCATCGCCTCTTGGGTTGAAAGGGGCGTGGAGGTCAACCCAGTCGGCGGTTGGACGATCACCGTTGGCGAATTGGACAGTGCCCATTTTACCAACGAGGACAGCGCCAAGGTCGATGAGTCGTTGTACCGCGGGTGCAGTGTTGTTCTGTCGTCCGTATAGGTAGAAGTAAGCCCGATTTCCACCACTCGTGCCTACTCCCTTGACGTGGAAAATGTCCTTGACTCCGAAGCGGAGACCGGCGAGGGGTTTATCCTCGGTCTCGGTGTAATACAGCCGTGAAGGGACAGCGATGCTCTTTGCCATCACATTCTCAGTAACGGCAGGGAGGGTAGTGAAAGCACCCTCTTCATCGCTAATCACCCCTTGTACAAAGGCGAGGTGGTCATCGTCGTACAACCGGTAGGCTTTGTAGACGTTTCCGGTGTGGACTGAGACGAAATAGGGTCCTCGAGGGAGACTCAAGACAGTTACAGCAGTCGCGACGCTGCCTGTGAGGCCATGGATCTTCTTTGGTGATAGAACCAAAGAGGTCCCCTGTCGTGATAGTTGAGAATGGAGAGACACAGTGCCGTTGTACCCAGCTGTAGCATTATATGTGCTTGGGCGGATATAGATCGCATGTAGAAAGGCAGGTTGGAAGACGTCATCCGTGCTATCGTAGGTGGTTGTGATGTTCAGAATCTCATCGCCTGAGAGGATGCTGCTCGATGTCTCGATGACGGTGAGCGGGAACAGGTCTTGGCCGGGAATCTGAGCAGCTGCGAGCGCGAGACTGGAGGCATTCGTGGTTTCTATTTGGCCTACAGCAATCCCGCCGGCATAGTAAGAGACGCCACTGAGACTTAGCACTTGGCCCTGGTTGAGGAAGTTGGCGCTGGCGAGGCGGAAAGAAGCCAGGCTTAAAGCCAAGGACCGCATTCTATGAGAAGCACAGCTGCGAGCTGGTGACTGTTGTTGGTGGAGTTCGGTGCAGCAACTCCAGCACTGGCCCTTCTGCTGGCAACATCGCGACCTCAGTGACTATCTTATATGTGAGCAGAATCACGCAAACTCCTCCAAAGGATTTAATCACTTGATTTCTGTGTGTCACCAACGTGCTAACTATCGAAAACATCAAGATGATAACCCGACATCGATAAGACACTGGCTGGGTTCAATGTTTCTTATCAAAACTTGGAGAATCCGCCTTTGGAGAATAGCGTCTTTTAGTGCCGAAAGCGGCCCCAACCCCTCCACATCGTCGGGTCCGAATCCCTGACTGCGGACGGAGGTAATGTTCTTTATTTCCACGCAGAGTGACATTCTAGCTGTCGGCCAAGGAGGACGTGGTGCCGACCGTCAGCAAACCACATTGGCGCAGCTCCGCCGCTGTCATCCGTGTTGTGCAATTGGTCGTACGAGCATCGGGGTAAACCCCAACCTCCAAGATGCTTTTCGTTGCATACGATATCTAGGAGCAATACCTGAGATAAGAGGGGAGCGAGACCGATATTCGGACCAAGCCTTTGGGCCGAGGCTCAATACGCTAATCTACCAACTTGACGTCTGGCAGATTGGACATGCTCTTGAGATGAGTGATCGTTGGGACTGGCACGTAGGTGCAGGTTACTCTGTGCTATGATGAGCTTGGGGACTATGTGGTAGCCGGCGATCCTATCAATGACCATCGATTGGCAATTTGATTTACACTCGTAATGAATTCACACAGTCTTCCTCCGAACTTTCCGTCAATGCATTTTCCACTTCACAGACTGGCCTAGGCGGTCCTGCGACCGTACACTGTGGCGTCCACTGCCTTCTCGTTAAGTCCGAGTAGCCAGATCAGAGGCAGACCTTGTAATCTTATAGATCTGATGGTCGCAATTCTCATCATGGATGTGCTCTTCAACGGGATGACATTCGGCAATGTTGTGCTTGTGCTTCAAGCATGGGAGTAGCCGACCACCGTGGTTGTTTTGCGGGCAATACTTTGCGTCGTTCTTCAATCGCCAGAGAACAGACTCGTGGAGAACAGCGTCTTTGGGAATGTCTCTCGTGCTACCTTTGTTGAGCGGGAAACGGACATTCTCCCAGCCACTGTCCTCAAGCTCCCATCGGGTGATGAAAGGCAGCCATTCTTTTGAAACGAGTTAGTATCGTAAACAGGCAGTGGATGAGACTTGGTCTTACCCATGAGCTTCCACAGAAGAACGCGGAAGAAGCTTGTACCACGGCCATACGCGAGTGAATCGTGGATGACACCCATCGTGGCCTTATCCTTCTTCTTCGCGAATCGTTTCTCAAAAACTTCGAGGTTCTCGCGCCATTTCAGTGCCGCAACTTCCTCCTTTTGACCAACTAGCTTAACCTCGCGGATCATCCAAGCAAGTGGAACATCGCTCAATTGAAGTCGGTCGCAGCCCAGAGCCTTGCTGGCTGCCTTTTCCTTCCGAGTCGTCCAGAAGTTCTTGACGCGCTCCCAAAAGGTCATCTCGATGCCATTGTCGAGCTTGCTTTCGGCCGATGCAGGCCACCCACCGCCAACGTCACCGTGGCAGCCCGGAAACCAGACCTCCTTGATGTCTTCATGGTTGTGGTCTGACTCTTTCATGTCTTGAGCCAGGAGAGCTGCTTTGAACTTGACGCGTCGTTCATCGACCGCTACAGCATGGCGCACATGATGAGCGGTACCGACGACAGGCACAGGTACGGGTGCAGTCCGCTCCAAGACAGCGACGGAGTTGACACAGTCCCAGATGCCGAGGAAGAAGACTTTGATGTTGGATTCCTCCATCTTTCCGCAGTGCATCGCCTTCTCCTTACGGCAGAAAGTGTCGCTGAATGCCGCAATCTCGTCTCTGGCAACTGCGTACTTGGCGCCGTGGGTTGCCGGGTCCTCATCCTCGCGATGACCCTCATGCAATGGCTCTTCGTCTTCTGGCTCAGGCGGTGGTGTCGGTACATCCCCATTGGCGGGAGCTTTCTTATTCTTCTTATGCTTCTTCTCCTTCTTGGACTTCTTCGGGTGAGACACAATGAAGTCTTCGACCTCACCAGCCAAGTAGCGCTGGTAGAGACGGTATGCGAAAGGGACCATCTCCTCGTTTCCCTTGCAAAGCAGACCGACGGTATGAACCATGCGAGCAAGGAACTTGGCAGTGAAGGCGCCACGGCTGAATCCAAACATGTAGATCTTGTCACCCTTCATCGCACCTTTATTAGTCGTCAAGCACTTCGCCATGACAGGTGGGTAAGTAGACTTACGGAATCGTAGTAACGCATCAGGAACCGGTAGCCGGCCATAACATGGGCGTCGAAAGTTGTTCCAATTCCTTGGTCGATGGTCTGCGAGATCGAAGATTTGAATTCACCAAATACACCCTTGTTAACAGACTCATCATTGATGTCGTACGTGCCGATGCCAGCTAGTTGAATACATCTGTCAGCGGCGAAACAGTTGACAGCGTGCAGATACCAACTCACTCTGGTAGTAATGATACTGATCAGGATCGTTGCGATCGAGTTTACTCAGAATCTTGACAACATTTGTGTCGGAGTTGGAACCGGTGAAGGTATTTCCGGTGCCGTCAAAACACAGAACTAGCTTTCTGGGAGTCCTCTTCTTCTCTGACTCGTGATTGGCATTGCCATTGAGGGTAGAAAAGTCGGACATAACGACAATGTGAAAGTAAGAAGGCAACTGAATACAATTGATAGATTGACTAGTCAATAAAACTGTGCTCGAATGCGGGAATGAGGTTGATGGCAAGCCAGAAATGATACACTGAGCCAGATCAGTACCACTGGTAAGTGCCAAAGGCCTCGATATATGCCTTTACATATCAACACTTGAGGATACGCTCGACCATCTGCAAGTTCAGCGACTCCCTGCTCATCACAGCAGCACAGCCGTCCGGTTACCAATTTAGTTCAAAGCGCGGCATTTCTCGCTAGGTACACTACTAGAAATGATCCAGTCTCAAGGCGGCTGATGGGCGGCGATCATGTTCATCTAGCTTTCGTAGGGAGGAGAGAGTACGTCACCACGTCTCACGACATGGGCACGACATGGAACACGGCATCTCCTCGTTCAGTTCGAAAAGACAAGGTCGTGGCTTCAAAGCGGCACTGAGACACTTGAACCAATACCAGCAGCAGCACAAAGCCACAGATAGCCAAACTTATGACAGTCTTTGCTATACTCTTGCTTTCCACAGACAGTATTTTCCTATCAAGACCCATATCACATACCGTGACCAGACTACTTTGATTGATGATGGAAAATAGAAAACTGATTTTGGGCTTCATCAAGACGAGCGGCCCGCTGGTGAGAAAGTATCGCAGTTGAAAAGTAGAGGAGCCGTAACTATTCGATCTAATTCGCGAATTACTCCGACATTAGACGGCAAGGGAATCGACCAGTCGGAAGTGGAATGTGGTGATTTATTCGTGAGCCGATGGTGTCACGCAACGGGTGGACGGGTAGCTAGCATCAGGGATGAAATATCTGTCCATTTTCGACCTGTCGTGTTCCCCTCTGAGACCTCAGCGAGCCGCCCAATACGGAGATATTTCTCATGATGGCTGAGACTGATACGCGATGAGATGCCACCGGTGAACGGTACGTTGCGGTGAGAGCCAGATTCACTCGTATCAGTCCAGTACAGCTCAGACATGAAGCCAAGCCACCTGAGCCCTAATTTGCTCCAGTGGCAGGGCCAAGGATGATCTGCTGTGGCAGCGAAAGTTGACCAATAGCCTGGTAGCAAAAGAATCTGAATTCATCTGCGGTGAAAGCTCAAAAGCTCTGCTTTGCGGGGAAAGCATCGGATAGCTCTGTCTCAGACCAATCGCAGAGACAGGGCCTCAACTCACATGAAATGTCTTGCCTCGTACCGCCCTGTACGACATGCCAGCAACAGCCGATTGGCATGTCATGTACCCTGTCGGCGATCCCCGTCTGCCAATGAACGAGGTTGGAATACTCATCCTGTCCGAAATCTTGCAGACGGTGCGGCCCGTTCGGAGGACCTCTGGAGCCGTTTGCACCGCCGTGCTACTTCGGGCATCAAATATCACACTCGGCCGATCTCTTTGCTTTTCTTGTGCGGCTGGGAAAGGTTCACTTTCCCCTCACCTCCGGAATCCCCTCCCGCCTGCTGACCGACATGACACAGCGCTAGATATGTCTCACGACTCACGGTACCAACCGAAGGTCCTCACGAGTCCTCAACCTCTCCCATCTCAACCTCCTCAAGGCACAATTATTTGTCAAGTTCACGGTTTGCGACATTCACCTTAATCATGACTGGTTCCTTGACGACATCCTCCCCTCACTTCAAGGCGCCACAATCTGCATGTCTCCGGCTAGCATAGGAGACAGGCAATACTGGCAGTTTTGACTCCAGACATATCGGCGATGTGTCTCAGTCTCTCTACCGCATTGGGAGATTTTACTCAGTATGGTATTACATTCCACCTGGTTTCGAGGGTAAACGGAAATGCCTCGGTGCGCCAGGATACCTACCCTTCGTGCTCATGCAGATCCGCAGTGAGCATCCGCCTTACTGGACGCCACTCAAGTTCCCATCATGAAGTGAGGGGATTTTGGAAATCTCGAGGTGAGGGGCTATTTTGTATCTCTTGGCCAAGCGGTCAGCAGACATGAGCGCCATTTGATTGAGTGTTGAGATTTGTATATGAGTACATAGCAGAGCTTCTCGGTGTGGGCCACGGATTCATGAACCTCTCTTCTCATCCGCTTCACCTGATCTATCACCCTCATACTCTAAGGCAGCGGGTGAATCATGGCCACCAACTTTACTCAGAAATTCCAGGCCGGAGAGTCTTATGGGGATGCGCGCCAAGACTCGGCCAACTTCTTCAATGATCCCGCGAAGATTGCAGCCGACATCCTGAAGGACTATGTCTCCGTACGC